TTCAAACTCTAATCGAATCCTTTCAAACAAACTCAAGGCAAGTTCTAATCATTCAAAAATATGACCAATATCCCACAAGAAAAGAATAAGGCTCAAAAACCTCACAAGGTAAATAAATGTCACTCAAAGCAATCAAGCAAATATCGAGGCAATGACCAACACACTCGTTATCACAACTTCCCAATTTCATCAAACATTCATTAACAATTCATATAATCCACCAATACCATGCTCAACAACACAAAAACCTAACGCTAGACCGGTCCACCACATAAACATGCAAAATCCAAATAAACTCCCCCACACTTAGAATGAGGCAATTACCTCATTGCTTGAACATAAACCGGAAGTCACAAAATAGGACCCAACATTTTCATATAATGAACCAACTAGCAGCTAACACAAGACACAAACTCAAAAGAAAAGACAAAAGAAAGAAACAACTCAAAAAGAGAAAATAAGAAAAGGGTGTGCAAACCGAAATGCCTCGAGGAGAAATAGCATGCATGTGCAAGTAGCTCGCCTATGATCAGCGTCGCGAACTCATCCCTGCCACTAAGAAAATCACGAAACTCCGAACTCCCATTATTCCAAGATAAAACTAAAAAGCGAAAAGAAAAATATCTAATAAAGCAGTAAATCGCTTGGGTTGCCTCCCAAGAAGCGCTTGTTTAACGTCATTAGCTTGACAAAACCTGAAAAGAACTTAGCCGAGATCTAGAAAGAGGTGACGGTCGTGCCACACCTTCGTATTCTCGAGAAGTGGTAGCACTGGCACTAAGGCCAGAAGGCGGGCATAGTGGATCCGGGTGGTCATGTTCTGGATAAAGAGGTCTCGGGTACGAGCAATCCCCAAATGTAGACGTAGAGCTTTTCCCACCCGAGCTCTATCGTCAATCTCCGAAAATATATGCTCATCGGTGGAGCAAGTCGAACTGAATGCTCCCCACTTCGCATCACAGTGTAAAGGCCCCGAAGATGGATGATCCAACTCGGAAGTGGGAGGAGGGACTTGAGAATCAAGCCCGTGGATCTCCTCCTCTGAAATTTCATCAAGCTCATATCATCGTCTTCGGCCTCACACATTTGCTTCATCCTGCGGGCTTGAGTATCAAGCATGAGGTGGGGGTAGTCGACTTTTGCCTCGATTGAG